TTATATAAGAATGTTAGTCATAAGTCCTTGGGCAGAAAACTGCTGCTATTCTATAATTCATAAAATTTCCTCACTTTACGCCTCTTGAAATCCATATATTTAGACATTGCTAAAAAGGGACTTACCAAAAGGACTTTCTGGTTTCACTGGCTGAAGTATTATTTTGCAACCTTTTAGAAGTATTTTACGAATAAAGACAACTGATTTTTCTACCCTTATCATATTCTATAGCTCTCTTTTTCTACTAAAGGTATTTTACTAAAGGTAATATAAGGGCAGGTAAACCGGGACTCATGAGCAAATGACAAAGCTTTCAGACAGACTAACTGCTCTTTTTCTAAAACTTCAGACGAAGTTTGACTTTAAGTAAAAACAACCCATCTTGACATAATGAAATTAAAACACAGATTTTCACATGTAGAGTTTCAGGAAATAAGGAAATTTCACACACACAAAAAGACTCCTGTCCTGAATAATTTGATGTTAAACCCACTAAAGTGGGTGACTGATAATTTTTCTTTGTTTTTTTGTTAGCCTCAAGTGCTGATACCCCCAGTGGCATTCTCTCTTTTCTTTTTGAAGAATTTCTATAGCGACAGCTCATTTAGAGGAATTTCACCTGTCTCTCAAGTTTTCAAACTCATAGCCAGGACTCTATAATAATATATATAATTCCCAGGGAATTAGAGTGTCTCACACACATCTGTCAACAGCAATGTTGCCTATTTTAATTAGAATGAGAATGGGCTAAGTCCTAGTTTTACCTCATTTTTACCTTATGATTATTTCCTAAAATGTACCGGGAAACTCAATAAAAGGAAAAAATATTTGAGCAATATATCACAACAACATAATGCAGAATGCCACAAGATAGCTATTTTATTCTACTGACCTATTTAAGTAATTTCAAGCTATTTTCTCTATTTTCTAGTGTCTAAGAGTACCTGGGAATAGGAGAAGACAAAAAGAGGGGGAAGGAAAAGGATCAAGATGTGATATGCACAGGTACCAATACCCCACTATGATTATATTCATTATATATTACAAACATATACTAATAACATTTTAAAAGGACTCGTTCTAAAAATACTTTCATTCTATATTAATATTTATTCCCATAATATTTGATGCTATGTATATTCTAAGTCTGTGGTTGTCCATATGGAAGCCTGTAACTATGTATGGCTATTGTGCATTTGAAATATAGCTACTCAAAATGAAATATGCTATTAATGTAAAATACACATCAAGTGAAAAGAATGAGAAAAAATGAAAATATCTCAATTATTGGATTAATCATATATTTAAATGACACTATTCTGGTTATATTGAGTTAAATTTATCATTAATTTTACCTTTCTATTTATAAGGAATGCTACCAAAATTTTTAAACTACATGTGTGTCTTCCATTATATATTTCTATTGGACAGTGAGTGCTATTCTAAATAAAATATATAACAAAATATAAAATATTTAACAAATATATAACAAAAATTTTGTAAAAACAACTCTCAGTATATCAGCAGCAGTGTCACTATGGCTAAATGATTATAATTTTCCATTTTAGATTTTAGATCTTTTACAACTCCAATGTTTAGAGGTCCATTCACAGTTATTCATTCAGCATTCCTTTTATCAAGGAATACAAAAGTTGACTCCCACACTGATTTCTGAAGTAATGTTTAAACTTGTTTTCAAATCTTCTTAGAATTAGTAAATTCTACCACAGGAGGAAAAAATGGACTAATTCCTGCACAAGGAGCTTCTCCTTAGTACCCCAGGACCATCTCCTTGGGATGAATATGTTATTTCTGGCAAGTACATATAAGAAGCAAGTTTAACAATTTCGGGGCCCTGAGTACTTTTTTGTTAATGCCGTTAAGTCATTCTGCAGTCCCCCAGAAGCCTGATAGGGAGCCAGCACCTTGGGAGTATTTTGGGGACTGCCTGAGCCGGGCCCAGGGTTCTGATGCAGCACCCAGTGGCCTGGCCTGCAGAGGTGTCGTGAGCACACACAAAACTCCAACCTCTGCAAAGCAAAAGGTGATGAGCACAGAGCTAAGGGAAAATAGTGTTCCCTACCTGTTGTGCTGCCAAAAGGGCACATGCAATTACAAGGATGGAGTGAATTATGTAGTGATAATTAAATATTATGTACTGGGCTTCTTTATATCTTTGTGTAGAGATACTAGGTCTCTTCCAATTAGAAGCTTGCAATTTAAAAGCAGTTCAGCTCAGAATTGCAGAGAACCAACAGTTATTTAAATGGGGGATTTACTATGTTACTTTTGAAGATTATTCTTTAAAAGCTTTGAGTCCTTTTCGTTTTCTCAGGATATCATTTCCATAACCCTATGTCTACTCTAACGAAGTATGTTAGTTGAGAATTGAAAAGCCTCATACATACGTGGACATACGCCCACGGCTAACTGAGCTCCCAGAACTCCAGTCCTTTCTAGATATGTCAGAAGTCCCATTCACCTTGCCATTCATTGTTCGTATCTCAACAGTTAAGCTGTATAAACTGGAAAGCTGAGGGGAAAAGAGCACCGACTCTCCCAATGCTATGATGCCAGAGCACACATTCCTCTTCTTGAGAAGGGCTCACAAAGGTTGTGTGAGGTTTAAGCAAAATCATCAGTATTCTGTCCTTTTGGTTAAGGTCATGTGTGAGCAAAATAAGCACTGATAAAGATACTTCTAAAGATTTCCACTAATGTGATGGAAGTGGGAGCAATGGTAAAATTACAATAAATGCCCACCTATGGTACTGTGGAATGAGGAAAACAACATTGCTGTTTTGTAAAGTGCCATTACATTTCTAGTTATAAAAAGTCATAAATGTTTATTTCATAAAATTCAAGACATACAAAGTATGGAAAAGAAAACAAAAATCATTCATAATTTTACCATGCAGAGATAATTGCTATTAATGTTTTCATACATATACTTCTAGACTTTAAGAAAAGAAGTGCTTTGTATTTCAAAGAAAGAGAAAGAATAATTGTGTCCCAGGCAGAACAAAGCAGCACCCACCACAGGCACTACCAGCTCAGTCTGGTAGAGAAGAGCAAGGCCCATGGAGTCTGGTAAATCTGGTAAAATCTAGGTCTGACACCTACTGTTGATACAAATCTTGGGTCAACCACTGAACACCATTATTCTCCATTTATAAAATGGAAAACTCAACCAACTCGTAAAGCTGTCATGGGCTAATGTGAAAAGGACGTACACAGTATTTTGCAACATGAAAAGAATATAGCAGACTTCGTTAGGGGGAACAAGAACAGTGAAGTTTGAGCACTGCTGTTTGCCCTCCATAAACCATGATTCATCACTGACAGGAGGCAAAAATGAAGAATGTGATCTCTATAGATATCCAAGTCCTAAACAACTGTACTATGTACCTAAAAAGTACCAATAAACTTAATGGAAAATAAAATAAAATAAAACAAAATGTGGTGACATTGCGGGGAGAAGATTCTGAACGGAGGATGCTGCATTCTAATTCCTGTGAAGGAGGAGCCCTGTTCCACTGTTCTGGCTGATCACCTTATCCGGTCATCTCCCTTTCTCTCTGTGTCACTTCCTTTCATTACTCCACTCTACGCATTCATCCCCATCTGTGATTATCTTCTGCATTTACAATGTCTTCCTTCCTCAAGCCCCCAGTAAGTAAGGTCTATAGGAGAAGGGGCCTGTCCGCTTTGCTCACTGTAACATATATTCCAATGGTCTGGAAAGTGTAGGAGACGTGGTAGGAGTTGAAGTTACACTTGCGAGGACATGAACCCATTTCACCCTTTCTTACGGAGGATGCTGCATTCTAATTCCTGTGAAGGAGGAGCCCTGTTCCACTGTTCTGGCTGATCATCTTATCCGGTCATCCCCCTTTCTCTCTGTGTCACTTCCTTTCATTACTCCACTTTACGCACTCATCCCCATCTATGATTATCTTCTGCATTTACAATGTCTTTCTTCCTCAAGCCCCCAGTAAGTAAGGTCTATAGGAGGAGGGGCCTGTCCGCTTTGCTCACGGTAACGTATATTCCAATGGTCTGGAACAGTGTAGGACACGTGGTAGGAGTGGAAGTTACACTTGTGAGGACATGAACCCATTTCATCCTTTCCTTGGCTGACCTCTCCTTTGCACACATACCCTTCCCTCTGCAGACTTCTAACAAGCACTTGAAGCACCCTTTGATTAAGGTTCATGTCCTCTTCCAAAACTAATCTCCTTGGTAGCAAGGATTATGTATCACTCTTCATGCATCCTTAGAACTTAGAAGGAAACAGATGCTCAATACATGTGTGTTCAATGAAAGAGTGTCCAGGAGATTTTTCTGTGTATTTGTAATTAAGCAAAAACCAAAATTTCCCATGTCTTTCCAACACGGCCATTCAATTCTGAACCTGGTCCAAACTGGGCTATTTTTCATACTTCTTCAGCTTCTTTCATCTTCTCTTTTTCCTTGGGAACTTCCTATCCATACACACAAATGTAAAGCCAGTGGTTATTCAGTTTTTCAAGAAGGTAAATTGATAATAATGACTAGAGCTGAAAATGTTAATGGACAAGTACTCCATAAACATCCTTTTGTGATAAAAAAATTTCAACCCACGTAAAATATACTTTACAGTCTAAAAGGAAATTATTTCCTCTATTAACTGGCTACTCAAAGTATCTTAATATCCTTTAAAATGGCATTTGTCCTATGAGTTTGTCTCTGTTTGCTTCTCTTCTACGATCAAGTACCGGTTAGAGGCAGTGGTTTTGGCTTTGAATGGAAATTATTACTCATTAAACAAAAACTCT